TCTGCTCTTTACAGTTCTTCACGTGTCTGCTCTTTACAGTTCTTCACGTGTCTGCTCTTTACAGTTCTTCACGTGTCTGCTCTTTACAGTTCTTCACATGTGTCTGCTCTTTACAGTTCTTCATGTGTTTGCTCTTTACAGTTCTTCACCTGTGTCTGCTCTTTACAGTTCTTCATGTGTCTGCTCTTTACAGTTCTTCACCCATGTCTGCTCTTTACAGTTCTTCACCTGTGACGAGCTGTTTAGTCTGAATTGAGCCGTGTAAACCAAGATCCTATTTCATTGCACAAATTACCTGCTTGAGCAGTCAAAAAGAAATGGGGGATTAATGTGACCCCTAGCGCCTGCTGGGGTGTGGCTCTCCAGCACCAGGGCTGTTTCAGCAGATGGAGGAGAGTTCAGATCTGCTCTTTCTCCTCAGTGGCAGGATGCTATGGTGGAGTTACTCTGGCTTTGTGTTCTTACTGTTTGGATCACAGAGCAGATCTATGAGTCGGGATGATGACACACTTTCCACAGCAGTCTTCAATCTCCTCTCCTTTCAGGTCACGAGCTGGTACCTCAGAGTTAAAAAGTAAAGCCATGAGGATCTTCAGTCAGGAGGATCGGTTGAGCATGAGACACTTCAGCGATCTTCCTCGGTTTTTATGTTTTCTCCATTGGCTATTATTTCTTTTGCTCTTCCCCAATTTTTTGAGCCACCGATGGCTGATCAACATGGCTCACTGCCACTGCTCTTCCTTTAGCCCAGGAGACAGGGGACCCTGTGGACACTGACCCCCACACCACTGTGGTCACTCAACGCCACAGCACAAGAGAGACACGGGACCCTGTGGACACTGACCTGCACACCACTGTCATCATCATCATTTACAGTTGAGGCTCCACTGAGGGCCGGAGCTCACAGGCTCCGTGCTGGAGCTGCTGGGGCTCCTGCAGCACTGTGACCTGAGGGCACCCTGGTCAGCATTAAACCCACCATTGTGTGTCTCAGCTTAACAGTATGTTTTGAAGAATGTGTTTCTGCTTAGATGGCTTACCAAACTCTGTCATCGAGGTAGTCAGTGAGTCACTGGCCTGTCTCTAAATCATGGTGCCCATAATTGTATTGTGATTGTGGCAGGTGCAATCACTGCACCAGGTTAAATTCAACATGTGCAGTAGGACTGGTCAGTTTCTTCAGATTGCTTTGCATACAGTGCAAACACAGTAAATGCATTTGATTCCTCTCATGTTTTCAAACGTTGTATCAAAGCTGAAAAAATCACTCCACTGCACGTGTCAGTGTTCCCAATACTGTATCTCTGGGACAGAAACTTTACAGATTTCAAATTCCTTACTGGCGTCTTCAGACTCCACCACATATACAGTACCTGTTCCTCCTCTTCAGCACTGGTGTCCGGCCCGGGCAGGTGGCAGGACACAGCAGTGAGCTCTGAGTAATCGTCATCTGTAGACCCTTGACCACAGTTGGTAAGTCTCCCACTGCACTGCTTCCTGTGCTGCAGGGACCTGGACTGAAGTCCAGCCCCTGTCATGCTGCGGTGCTTTACTTTCTAACATTTGTGTTTCTGTTTGGAAACAAATGTTCTGTAAATAATGGAACAGTTAAAGTGCTTTGGGCTGAGAGATGTTTTTTTCTTTATTTGGTCATTGCTGTGCATGATGCTACTTCTGA